TTCAGTGCCCCTGCTGGATCACACAGTTGTACTTGATTTTCTTCCAGGATCAAAATACTTCAGGGGGAGGGAGAGGCAAAGACAGGAGAGGAGGAGAGAGGGGAGAGAGAGAGGAGGAAGCAGTAAAGCGGCTTCCCAACTTCCTTTTGGAAACAGCCTCAGGTAGCCACCATTTCTTCTGGCAGAAACAACTGAGAGAATGTAAATGGGAATCGTTTATAGAGGAGTCTCCACCAGGGCAGAGCATTTGAAACCAGGCCACTACAATTGGACAGTGTCTGGGGATCTCATTCTGTCACTCGATTAGAATTTTTAGTGTAATTCAAGTAATGTTTACGGAAGGCCCCCAAGCAGAAGGGGGTGTGGGGTTTGGAGCCAAGAACAGGCAAACAGGCAGTTCCCAGATGGCAAGGAAAAACAATCTTTTTTTTTTTTTTTTAATGCATTTGAGGAGCAGTTTCCTCAGCAAAGGAGTAAACTGTTAACACACAAAGATGAACTAACTTGGACGGTTCAGAGAATGAAGCTGTCAGTGGGTTTGACTTGCGGATTTGCTCGTGGATCTGCCCCATTGACCTGAGGGCTCTTGGTAGGATTCACATCCTACCTCACACAAATATCGTCACTTAATTCAGACAACACCTGGGAACATCGAAGTGGTGAGTGTCTTAGAATCTGTGGTCTGCCCAACAGATGGGCCACCTCCGGGGGGGTTGTAAAAGTGGAAGAGACTGGGAGGCTGGGAGAAAGATTTTCCTGAGCTGGGCCACGTCTTGAGACTCAGTCCTTCAGACTGAAGGGCCGGCGTGTCCTAGATATCCCACCTCCATCGTTTACGATCAGTGTGACACTGGGCACGGTTCTTTATCTGTAAAATGGGGACAATAATAATACCTACTTCATGAACATGTTGTAAGGATGCTACAGGATGAAGCACACAAAAAACTTAGCATAACATCGGCTATTGAGTGAATCCTCAAAAATGGGTAGTGGGTACATTTAGCAAGTGCTCAGGTCTCGGGGGGTGGTGGAGGAGTAAGGCAAAGGAAAGAACTAAGAGCTTAGAACGTTGCTTTTCAACAAACGCTTTCCTTCGTGTGCATAGAACCAAATTCAATGCCCTCAATCTAAGCCATAAATGTACATCCCACCTGCTCAAGCTTCTTGCCCACTTCCCACTGGGTTAAAAGCCGACACAGCCACTTCTGAGCTTCTCATGACAGAGCTATGGAAGCACACTGCCCTCGCTCTTGATTTCCACCATCTCCAATCTCCCATCCTTCTGCATCTCCAGCTGACACTTGGCTGGATCTCACTCTTCTCCAAAATCGACTGCATCTTTCTCCACTACATAGCTTTTGTTTTTTACAATAAAAATAAAACTCTGGGGTTTCCCTGGTGGCGCAGTGGTTGAGCGTCTGCCTGCCAATGCAGGGGACACGGGTTCGTGCCCCGGTCCGGGAAGATCCCACATGCTGTGGAGCGGCTGGGCCCGTGAGCCACAACTACTGAGCCTGCGCGTCTGGAGCTTGTGCTCCGCAACAAGAGAGGCCGCGGCAGTGAGAGGCCCGCGCACCGCGATGAAGAGTGGCCCCCGCTCGCCGCAACTAGAGAAAGCCCACGCACAGAAAAGAAGACCCAGCACAGCCAAAAATAAATAAATAAATGAAATTTAAAAAAAATAAAAAATAAAAAAATAAAACTCTGTTTACATCTTTTCAAATTAATTGCCCTTCTTTGTCATTGCATGTAGTTTTAATTGTTGTGTTGAATTCCAACTTATTGATTTGTCATTATTTTTATAATCATTCTCCCACGGAGGTATCGGAGTGATTTCTAGATTTCAATATTCTAAATAGAACATCTAAAAACATCTTAATCCAGATTATCTTCTTCCTTTAAAAGAACATTTTTATTGAGATATAGTTGACATACCATGCAAATCACCCATTTAAAGTGTACAATTTAATGGTTTTTACTATGTTAACAGAGTCGTGCACCCATCACCACAATTAATTTTAGAACATCTTTATCACCCTAAGAGGAAACCTTACACCCATTAGTAGTCATCCCATTCTCCCCACTTCCCCAGCCTTAGGCAACCACTAATCTATCTTCTGACTCTATAGATTTGCCTATTCTGGAAATGGCATATAAATGGAATTATGTAATATTTCCAAAGACCATTCCGTTCCATAGTCTTTGGGGCCTGGCTTCTCTCACTTAGCATAATATTTTCAACTTTCATCCATGTTGTAGCAGGTATCAGTATTTATTCCTTTGTATTGCCAAATAATATTCCATTGTATGGCTACATCACATTTTATTTATTCATTCATCAGTTGTTGGACATTGGTCTATTATGAATGCTGCTGCTATAAATATTCATGTACAAGGTTTTGCATGCACGCACATTTTCATTTCTGTTGGGTGCACTGCATAGTTATGCCCCCAATCAGGTGTTGCTCTCGTGGTTCAACCCTTGTTCATATGTTGAGCTCATGCTCTCCTCTCCGCCCCAAACCTGCTCCCGTTCCAAAGTACACTGCAGGTTCCACCACCTCTCCTGTTGCACAATACAGAAGCTTAGCAGTCATCCTGTATGCACCCTCAGCTCCTCCATCCTCCACCCCACTGCAGCCCACATCCAGTCCAGTTGCAATTCAAATACAAGCATTCCTCAGAGCATGCTTTGCAGATGTTCTAGAATCAATCAGGCCATTAACTCCTTTTTTTTTTTTTGGCTGCGTCGGGTCTTAGCTGTGGCATGCAGGCTCTTTGCTGCGGCGCCCGGGCTTCTCTCTAGTTGTGGTGTGCAGGCTTCAGGGCGCGTGGGCTCTGTAGTTTGTGGCACACGGGCTCTAGTTGAGGCGGACGAGCTCAGTAGTTGTGGTTTGCGGGCTCAGTGGCCCCATGGCATGTGGGATCTTAGTTTTCCGACCAAGGATCGAACCCACACCCCCTGCATTGGGAGTGGGATTCTTAACCACTGGACCACCAGGGAAGTCTCAGGCCATTAGTTTTTTACACACTCATACCCCTCTGTTTATACTCGTAGGGTGACTTGATTAATGCCTGTTTGCTCCCTGTTTCATCTCAAGTGCTTAGCATAGTGCCTACTTTATAGCAAGACTGTAAGCTTCTCAAGATTGGATATATATCACATTTCTTTTATAACATCTCACAGATCCCAGTACACTAGTATTGGCAATAAAAATGTGTTGACTTGAACTGCTTTTATTATAATTTTTTACAAATTTTTAATTAAGGTATAATTTACTTACAGAAAATTCAGCCTTTTTGGTGTGCAGTTCCATGGGTTTTGATAAATGTATACAGTCACGTGATCACCACAATTAAGACACAGAATATTTCATCACCTCCCAGAAGTTCCATGTGTTCCTTTGTAGTCAACCCTCTGCCTCCCCTATTCCCATGAAACCTCTGATTTGTGGTTTTCTATCCCTATAGTTTTGCCTTTTCCGGAATCTCATGTAAATCTAATCATATATCTGTAGCTTTTTGATTCTGGCTTTTCTTCCATTTAGCTCATGCATTTGTGCTTCCCCTATGTCATCGTAAGAGCTTGTTCCTTTTTATTGCTGAGTACTATTCCGTTGTATGGAAGAACTACAGTTTGTTTATCCATTCCTCAGTTAAAGAACATTTGGGATGTTTCTAGCTTTAGGCAATGTGAACCATGGCAGTATAAACACTCATGTACAGGTTTTGTGTGAGCCAAGGTTTTGGTTTTACTTGGATAAAGACTAGGAGCCGGACTGTGATATCATAAGATCAATGTATGTTTAACTTTTAAGAAACTGTCCAACTGTTTTCCAAAGCAGTTGTGTCATTCTGCATCCCCGCCAGTGGTGTCCATCATTCTGCATCCCCGCCAGTGGTGTCCATCATTCTGCATCCCCGCCAGTGGTGTCCATCATTCTGCATCCCCGCCAGTGGTGTCCAAGAGCCCAGTTGCCCTGCATCCTCACCAGCACTTGATAGTGAGAATTCTTCACATAGTCTAGATTCCAATACTTTATGAGATATGTGATTTGCAAATATTTTTTCCCATCTGAGGCTTTTTTTTTCATTCTCTTTATATCTTTCAAAGAGCAGAAGTTCTTAATTTTGATGAAGACCAATTTATCACTTTTTAAATTTTACGAATCATGCTTTTGGTATCATATGTAAGAAGTCTTTGCCTAACTCAAGGTCATGAAAATTTTCCCCTATGTTTTCTTCTAGAAAATTTGTAGGTTTAGGGTTTTTACATTTAGGCCCTTGGTCCATTTGATTTCTGTTTTATCTCATGAACTTTTTCATCTGCTTTAAGTCCCAAATCTAACCTACGATATGCCTGCCCACATTGCTCTCCAGCCTTTAAGCTCCTTGAGGGCAGGGATTGTGTTTTCTCAATGTCAATATTTGCATGACCCTGAGAATGAGCTCTTCTTAAATTGTGAGCCCTTGGCACCTCACCTGGCTCACCCTAGTCCCCACCCCTTATTTTATTCATGTTCATATTTTCCATAACACCAAGCATCATGTCTTTCACTTTAGGTACTGAATACATGTTACTGACATTTTAAACATGAGATATTCGAAGGGCTTTAGGCTGCCTATCCCACTGAGAATGAAGGAGAATTAGCACAACTAGGAAAAATCATTTCTAGTCATTTAATCAGCACTGACTGTACGCTGTGCACCTACTGTGCGCCAGATGCTGGAATGCCTCCTGGTGGCCCAGACCTCCAGAAGGGTACTTCATCCTATGTGGCCTTCTTATAGCAGTGCTTATGACATCACCCAGTAAGCAGGAATACAGAGTTGTACAACCAAGCAAAGTGCTCTGATGGGATGTTTTCAAAATCTGAAACACATTCAGGTAGAAAGTATGATAGAGAAATAATGTGTCAGTCCCCCCACGTGGCAGACGTTCTACCTTGAGTTCAAGTGAGGCCAGATGTAAAAAGACAAGGGTCTTTTTACTTGCAGGGCTACTTGTCTCTCGTTTTCCCTCTATTTTTCCCTCTAGTTGCACTTTTCCCCCCAACAGGAAAGAGTTTTCAGGGAACACCCACTTTGTGGCTACCTGGACAGAGAGAAGGGAAGGGGACTTTCCCCATTCAAGGTTTGCAGACTCAAAGACTGAAGGAAAAACCCAGTGTGTCTGGAAGGTGACTTTCTGACTGTCTCAGGCTGTTATAACAAAAATATCATGAACCGGGTGGCTTACAATCAACAGAAATTTATTTCGGACAGTTCTGGAGGCTGGTGATCTGACTGAGGTGCCAGCACGGTGGGATGAGGGCCTCACCCAGGTTGCAGACTTCTCCTTCTAGCCTCACAAGGTGTAAGGGGCTGAGGGATCCTGCTGGGGCCGCTTTTATTGGGCTGGCCAAAAAGCTCGTTCGGGTTTTTCCATAAGATGTTACGGAAGATCCGAACGCACTTTCTCGCCAACCCAATATAAGGACACTAATCCCATGAGGGCTCTGCCCTCATCACCCACCAAAGGCCTCACCTTTTGTCAGGTGTGCTGGGGTGGCAGTTAGATTCCCCCTGTGCCTCTGCTCATGTGTTCCGGCAAAGGGGACACAGTAACTTAGGAAGGACAAATCCATTCTCATCTCTGGAAAGATCTTAAAGAACTTTGATGCTTTGACAGAATGTTTCGTCCCAGGCTAGAAAAAAAAAATCTATTTAAATACTGTGTTGTTGTTGTTGTTCTTTTTAAATTAAGTAGGTTGAGAAATCGTGAGTTTAAAGCTTAGTGATTTGAACTTAAGCACGTTCTAGAGGCAGGAAAAGACTCATTAAAATAAATTTTATGACTTTGGCATTTTGTATTGTTTAAAAGTAACCAATTACAGAAAATGGAAATGAGATGTCAAGATTTCAATTTTAGTTTTAAAGCAAACCTAGTTCCCTCCTAGGGATTAATAATTAAAATAAACTTCATAGTTCTAGGGAACAACCTAATTTGGGCAATGTTTTTAAAAAATTATAATTTGTGAACCACCAGTCCTAGAATCACTTTACAGGTTTGTTAATAATCTCCCCTCCCTCCCTCCCTCCCTCCCTCCCTCCCTTCCTTCCTTCTCTCCCTCCTTCCTTTCTTCTCTCTCTCTCTTACACACACACACACAGAGAAGTTACTCGGTCCCCCATTAAATCTATCTGGTGGTGAGGCCTGGGAATTTGCATTCTTAATAAACTCCTGGGATATAGACATTTTCATTCAGGTTTTAAATCACTAATGTATGGGGCTCTTTCCCTGTCATGGTAATAACACCCAGTACTAAATACTAATAATACTAACAATAATAATATTTTGCTAACCTTTATTGGGTGTTAGTATGGGCCTGTTCTGAGTGTACCTCATGCATTAACTCACGTAATCCTCTCAGCAACTCCTGGAATAAGCAGCATCTTCCTCCTCATTATGGAGAGGCAGAAACTGAGGCAGGAGTACCTTGTCCAGGTCGTGCTGCTGGGTAGCGGCTCTGGACTAAAGGAGTTCATGAGGCACAGGGGGCCCCTGATGACCCCAGGGGAGAGGTGAACTCACAGGTCCCTTTGCCCCTGCACACTGGCAGATGGACATTTCCATCAATGTGTGCTCTGCTTCTAGCCTAGCCCAGGGCTCGGCTCATCTTAAAGAGCAAAGTCCCCTGAGGGAGGAGGAGACATGCTGCCACCTGACTGGCCAGCTCAGTTCTGCCCAGAGGGGCTCCATCCCCAAGGTGGACTCTGCCTGCTTCCGGCTTACCAGTTGAAAACATTCTAACTACGTTGGGCCATTGAGGCCTGCTAGGCGAGTCAACTGATAGCCAGGCAAACGTTGATCTTCTTTCTAGGAAGAGAAAAATCAGACCCTTATCTGCCTCGCTGGTGTTGGAGAAGTAGGCCTTGTCTCTCCATACCTGGTCAGTGGCATCAAAGTGCCCTGGGGCCCTAGGGCATCTGGCTTAGACCCCTGCCTGTTCCACCTTGCTGAGGAGTCACGAGACCTTTTTTCACTGATAAAAATGCAGTATTCATTTCTTAGGGCTGCCATAACAAATAACCAGAAACTGGATGGCTTAAGACAACAGAAATTCATTCTCTCATCGTTGTGGAGTCCAGAAGTCTAAAATCAAGGTGCAGGCAGGGCCATGCTCCTGCTGAAGGTGCTAGAAGAGGACCCTTCCTTGCCTCTTCCAGATCCCAGTGGCTCCTTGGCTTATGGTAACACAACTCTGATCTTTGCCTTTGCCTTCAGATGGCCTTCATTTTTGTGTCTATCTCTGTGTCTCTCCTTTTGAGTATCATATAAGGACATGCGTGGTGAGATTTAGGGCCCACCTGAATCTAGGATGGTCTTATCTCCAGATCCTTGCCTGAATTACATCTGCAAAGACCCTAATTCCAAATAAGGGCATATTCTGAGGTTCTGGGTAGACATATCTTTTGAGGGACATTATTTCAACTCACTGCAGATGCTTTCATATATAAGGGTTCAAAAATAAAAACAACCACGTTTATGTAAAAGAAGAGTTTGCAGACATAACTCCTGGCTTCCTCGGTCTTACTCTCTCCCCAGCCAGGCCCTGAAGACAGTTCCCAAATTTCCCTGGAGTAACTGTCTCAACAGAAAACTTAGGACTAGAGTTTTTTATACCCACCCTTCCGGCAAACAATAGACTGAAAAAACAGTGAGCACATTGGGGGAAAAAAATAAGTTGTCTGGTAGAATAACAGGATTTCTAGGCCATGTTTTCAACCTTCAGATGTTTCTCAAGGTTGTGAGAGGAGAAAGGGAGGTGGAGATGCCAGTGGATTGTTTTTCCTTTAAGCAACTAGGCACCTCACCCGTCCTCTCTCATCTCATGCTTCTTTCTGTAAATGGAGACAATCTCCTTCATCTCCTTGAGAATGAGGTGACATCTGAGCAGATTCTGATTCAGAGAGCTAGACACCCTGTTGTGTGAAGGACGGTGCCAGTGGTTTCTTAGGGAGGCCTCTGGAGGCTGCAGGCCTATTTGCAAGGGCAGACTTCCAAGGCCTTGGTCTGACTCCTGGTCGCATGTGTTAGGGTGATGCAGTCTCGCAAGGTCTGGCAGTGGATGCTGGGTGAGTCACAGACCAGCTCCACTCTTGACCTGAGGCCATGCAGCGTGGGCCAGGGGTTCCTAAACTTGGTTGATCATCAAAATTATCTGGAAGCTTTGACATTTTGTTTTAGGACACAGCTTCCTGGCTCCCTCCTCAGACTTACATAATCAGAATCTCCTTGTGGATGAAGCATAAGCTTTTCAGTTAGAGCTGGGGCCACATCCTGACGCTTCCCCATCTCCGCATGTGAGTTTGACAGGTCAGCCAAGCTCTGATCTGTGTACTGAGGGCAATGACACTTCCCCAGGTTGCCTGTGGTGGGGGGTAGGGGGAAGGTTCAGAGGCGATACTTGTGAAAGTACCACATCCAGTGGAAGCCATCTGATTCAAATAACGATTAATAAATACCAGCAATTTACCCCGAGTTGTCTGAAATACCTTGTTTTTACGTGCAGGAGGAAGAATTTGTTCTATATATTTAAAAAAGGAGAAAGAAAGAAAGAGAGAGAGAGAGAAAGGAAGGAAGAAAGGAAGGAAGAAAAAGAAAGACAGGGTAATCCAGTTGACTCTTACTCCTATCTGATGGGAATGTAACTGCCCACAACATTTTCTAACTTTCCATTAAGAAGCATATGCTTTGGGACAATAGCAGGAATGAAAGAACTTATACTTTCTGTGCAGTTTCGAGCAAAATGTTGTTATTCATGGCCAGGCTCCACCTTGCAGAGAAAGGCTGGGATTAGTCTTTGCAAAGATGGTCCTTTTGGCAAATCTTAGAAATCACGTGCGAATGAGGAGACCCCAGAGAGCTGTGACAGCCTCAGGAGGGATATGGCTGTTGGACGTGATGGGAAGGGGCTAGAATCCCATCCACTTTTTAGTGGGCCTCTCCCAGTCCTGGGTTTACCTTTCACCGATGAAATGAAATAATCTACACAAACTACACAAACTGAGCCTGGCACTCCAGAGGCTCTCAAGGAATGTCAGCCACTGCCATCAGACCAGCATCATCCATCTTCCTCTTAGACTATCTGGACTCATGTACCCTCAAGTCTGATTCCCAAGCTCTGGTTCTGGAAGCCAGGTGGCTCTACCCCGCCTCTAGGCCTTCGGGAACATCCCAGGATGCTCTGGGAGGGCCCACAAGTAAAACATACTCAGGACAAAGCAGAAACAGCCTCTGCTTTGGAGGGAGGTTTTCCCAAACCAATTTTTCTTTTTATCTGATGGGAAGGGCCGAGTTAAGAGGCAGCAGCAGGGGGACAGCACAAATAAATACAGAGAAACCTCTCCAGGGCCTGCTATTGTGCTGAGCACAATGACAGGCTCTGGAGAGCATTTTTATCCAGTTGAGACTGGAAACTAAAATAAATGTGGTCATATTACACCCTCCTCCAGAGCCCTGACTTACCGCAGCACTTCCCTGAGTGCCGTAGGGTGGAAGGGGCATTTCTTTGTCAGAGTCCTGGCTGGTGTGGGGGGAGAAGGGAATTTAGGGTGTGAAGGCAGGTCCTCAAAATTGGGGCTGAGATCCCTGAAGCCTTGGGCACTAGTCCTTTGACCACCCTGAACTTTCTCAAAAGCTGCTAACACCAAGTCCCCACCCTTCCCAGGGCTTTCCGGCCAACAATGGGCCATGTCCAGCAGGGCGGGGCTGGTGACACACCCAGGCAAGGCTGTTTGACTCTGCGGGGTGGAGGAGGGAGCCCCCTGCCAGAAATGGGCAGGGGGGGCTAAGCAGGACTGGTAGCTTTCTTGAGCCTCAGAAATGTCCCCCAATACTGTAAGGACTGGCAGGTCAGCCTCTGCGGCCTTGGGCTGCTTTGAAGTGAGTCATACATTGGAAAGATCTTTCTGAAACCAAAGCCATCTTTCATGGGAATGAGTCTCAACTCTTCTGCAGCTGGTGTTTCTAAACATCCCTCGAGCAGGCTGGGGAAATCCTCCCCACCCAGAAAACACCGAGGTCCAACGGCTCTAAAACTCCTTGGGAAAAGCTGAGCACCCAAGCTGGCACATTTGGACACTTCCATTGTAGGCAGCCTGGCACCCTGGCTCCTGCAGTACCCGTGGGGACAGCTGAGCCCTTCTCTGCATGATACTTGCTTACATTTTGAGCTTGGAACTGGGGAGATGGGGTCTGAATCCCAGGCCCACCACTCAATAGGCAGATCTTGTATAAGGCACTTGGTTTCTCTGGGTCTGTTTCCTCCGTTCTGCAGTAGAAGTGATGTAAGGAACTCCAGGAAATAAAGCGTGTAATATGCTCACCTCAGAACTGGGCAAACAGTTAAGTCCCCACTACACGGCAGCCGCTTTATTAATAAAAGCTAATGTGTGAGCGCCCATTTTGTATCATGCCGCGTCCTATTCTACCTGATTCTCACAATAACTCTTTGAGGTAGGTATTTTTATTACTATTCCTATTTTATAGAAATGGAAATTGAGGCTTAGAGAAGTTAGGCAAACTGTCACTAGTCACACAGCTAATTATTGGTGGAGCTCGAACTCAAACCCAGGGGGTTTGGGCTTCCCTGGTGGCGCAGTGGTTAAGAATCCGCCTGCCAATGCAGGGGACACAGGTTCG